CGGGGCGACCCGCCGCGGCACCGGGCAGCGCCTGGCGCCTTCCCGCCCCGCGCGACGGCCGCGCCAGCGGGAACGCGCGCGTTTTGACGGGCGCCCGTGCCGGGCCGGCTGCGAACCTCGCGGCTGCGGCGTGAGCCCGGGTTTACAGCGGAGCCAGCCAAGGCTGAGCTGCTTGCAGCCCTGCAGCAAGTGTAGCAGATGGGACATGAGCACAACAGGTACTTAACTAGCAGGTGTCACCCGCGCCTCTCCGCTGCTGGCTGGGCTGTTACTTTCCTTGTACCCTGTGTCACCCACTTTGCTTTCTTGCGTGGGTGTCTAGCAGTGGTGCTGCCGCTGACAGCGGGTCTGGGAAAGGTGAGTGTGAGACCTCAGGGTGCTCTAACCAGCATCATCTGCACATCCCGCAACCAGAGAGCGTCAGACCAGTCATTGCAGGAGATCTAAAACTGCTCATGGGAAATACCCAAGTAATTTCCCCTAGTCAAAAAGCTCAGGGTGTCGAGCAGTGAGGCAGGCTGTCACGCTCCGTACCCTTTCTGTTGTACCCGTTGTGTGACCGGGAAAGAGGGCTGTGCTTCAGTGCTCTCCGGGAGCATCATCCGGCACCTGTCAGCAATGCTGTGCATGCCCGTGCAGAAAAACAAACCACAGAGCTGCCTGTTTGCCCCAGTGGCATCCTGTTGGATTCCTCACACATGCACAAAGCCTGACTTTGCTTAGTGTTTCTCTCTGCAGAGAAGACAACGTGAAGCAATAGTGGCAGCACTAGAAGATCTGCATGTTCTTGCCAGTGGCGAGTGGTGTAGCCATGGGCAAATCGGGGCTGTCTGGGCCCTTTCCTCTTTAGTTGCCTCGTCTGTGCAGCCTGCAAGCTCTTCAGGGTTATGGCTGTCACTGTGTGTTATGTCAAAGGGGAAGACCACGTGCCATTTGATTATGAAGATACTTATGTAAAAATAAAAAACGTAAAGGTATCAGATAACAAAAACATTATTACAGCACCTTATACCTTCATCTCCCTCTCTGCCATTTCCTCCTCTGTTTCCCTTTGAAACATTTCCAGCTCGCCCCCAGCCATCTCTTCCTGGGTCCCTTTAAAGGCATATTATATGTAGCAAACGAACTGTGTCTCTGGTTTCGGCGATCCTGCCTTGTCCACCTATTGCACTGATTGCTCCTGACAGGTCTAGCATTCCCAGCATCCTGTGTTCAGGGGGATGTTCTGATTATTCCCGCCATCGAAGCAGGATATTGGAATCAGCTCATAGGCAAGATGGAAGATTACAAAACCATGGGGTGGTTTTAATGCAGTTGATATCTTGCTAAGCCAGCCCACAGGGTGTATGTATCCTTGTTTTAATTGCGGAGATGAAAATAATTCAAATGAAATACTCCAGCAATGAATTTGTCCTGAGGAGGGCCATGTTAGGAAAGGAAGGATATTACTTTATTAACTATGTAAGCACTTGGTTTGAGCTGAATTTGTTCAGCCATTTTAAAATGCTTTATTCAGGCTAGACATGCCGAAGAATCAAAGCAGATGTTGTTCGTGTTGTTTGTGTTACTCCATTTGCTTAAGTGAATACTTGTAGCCAAAGGTGTAGTAAAGTGGAGGTGACCCTAGAGCTTGGCAGAATGTAGCAGGTTACTCCAGAGCTGGGCATTCTTGGCAGAACGAAGAGCTAATTCTGGTTGCAGGCTTTAGGCTCCCGAAGCCAAGCACATGGGGACTCACATCTTCATATGTCATTGCAGTGACATGTTATGTTCCCCACAGGCTGGATCAGCTAGTCAGAGCTGGGGATGGGCTCAGGCCACTCACTACTGAGTCTGGTATTTGCTAATAAATTGTGGCTATCCAGCTGCCGTGGTGGCTACATGCACAGGTTAACGGCATGGCCTTCACCTTGGATGCTGTGCTGATAGTGGGCATAAGTTAAAGGAATACATGACCATCACCCATATGTTAGCAACTTGATACCTCCACTTTTTACAATAGAAATAAGTCAATGAGTGGTCCCATTTGCCTTGGAAACAATTTTATTGCCCTATGACTATACCCATTAAAGGGAGAGGTAGTCGTACCTCATAAAATAGTGCACCAGTTTAGCAAACGTTACCATATGCTATTACAAATGAAAATCCAGTGCTAGGCTTATGTAAAGGCCTCGTGTTGCCCTTTGGTGCATATGTCAAATGAGCCAAAAGAGTAAACATGAATTAAATAATTGAACTATATTAACATAATAATTAAATATCTTAAAATAGTCAAGAAGTTTTACCTGTCTACCCATTATGCATCTTGGCACATGGTTTATTATTGTTTTTACAAGCTAATGTCATAATACCCTTGCAACAGAGTTACTCATTTACTTTTCTTCCCTTGAGGTCTGCCGTTTGTTCCAAGTTTTATTTCACAGCATACCTAATACCTTAATGAAGTGCACCATAGGACTGTTTGGTAG